CTGCATATTATAAATAATAAAATAATAAATATATATATATATATTAAATAACTAAGAAATCAATTACTATTATGTAACAAATTGGCGTATGCATATAAATTTAACTATTACTCTTGTTTATTCACAATTAGGGTAAATAAATCAAAATAATCAATCTTATATATTGTATATGATATATAATTAAATTTAAATGATATAATCATAGTAATATAGCACACTTTTAATATGCATATTTATTAAATGAGGTTTCTACTCATATGATTTTATGATTATTTGCATATTTGTGTAACAAAACTTTACACCAATGATTTATAAATGACGTTATGATTATTTGAATTTAAGTATTTTCCATTTTACATATACACTTCCATAAATTAAAAGGAATGAAGTTATTATAGTTAATATATGCAAATCGTTATCAAATCGTATATTTTCCTTTTCTTCCATTACATGCGTGCGATATATATAAATATATAAACTATGTTACATGCGTCTCTAATTATTTTTCCCTAGCAAATTTCAATTGAACCTAAAGCCGCCACGTCAGTTTAATTGATATGCTAATTGATTGACAATTAAGCAAGGTTACTTTTTAATTAATACAAACTTGAGGTTACATCTTTTCAAATGTTTCTCAATTAATATATAGGGGATATGTTACATTAGTTCGTTTTTTGTTCGTTGATAATAAGAGATTCAAAAGTTAATATTATGTAAAAACGGAAAAATAAATATTGGGAATACTAGAAACTCGAAACCTTATAGGACAATCAACATATATTAGAACAACAATAAAATAGTGAAATCAGAGGATAAGATGGAGAACAACTTGATAGAGAAAGGCTCCATAAGGCTAGTAGCAGTAGCAGAAGCTTCATTGTGGAGCTAAAGAATCGATTGACGATGATTAAGGGTTGCAAATAATATTTATGCGATTTGTTTATGGTCTTGACTTGAGTCTCTTACACAATGAATTAACAAAAATAATTTTGACTATACTTTACTTTTACAATTCTCTTACCATAGTTATTATAATAAGAATAATGGAGAAATATATCACTCCATAGAAATCTCTATAATATTATTTGAGAAGTCACATTCTTAGGTGTCGCGCTCAGGTTAACTCTCACGCTGGTTGATTACTATGATACCCCTAATGAATTAAAAATACAATCAAATATTATTTCTTTTTTTAAAAATTTCCAAATAACAATATAAAATAAAAAGGAAACATTTATACAATTTACAAAACTATTTAAAAACGAAAATACAAGTATATATAATATGGTTTAAAAAAGGAAAGTTCACAAAATAGTAATATTTAATTTAAATATATTTTAAATAACATAAAATATACCTTTGCAGTAATAAAATACTTTATATATATATCTTCTTAGATAAAAAAAACAATATCTGTATATAATGTGATTTCATAAAAAAAAAAAATCACACAAAAAATATTGCTATTAGAAAAAGAAATATTTTTTCTTTAAAAAAAATAATTAAAATTTTTTTTTAAAATAATTATTTTTGTATATATCTATCTATTTTATTAGATGATTACATAAAATAATCAACTAACATAAACTGATGATTAGTTTTATTTTTAGTATCTCTTACAATTACAGTAAAAATATAAATTCTATTTTACTTATATAGTATAATTTCTCAAAAACAATCAGTTTTTATTGACTATTTTAAGAGATACTAAAAATAAAACTAAAAATAAATTTACTAATAAACATCTTTTGATCAAGTAACTACAATTATTTTAAAATATCATAACACTATATAATTTAACGAGGTAGATATATTATATTTTAATAGTTAAAATTATATGTTATAAGAATAAGGATTCTGATTTACTTAAGTATTTTGATTATGGTTATATTAAGTTTCACAAACATAAAAACAGAAAATAACTACAATTATCTTAAAATACCATAACACTATAATTTAACAAGGTAGATATATTATATTTTAATAGTTAAAATTATCTGTTTTCTTAATAAATATTTTAATTTTTAATTTTCTGTTTTTATGTTTGTGAAACTTAATATAACCATAGTCAAAATACTTAAGCAAATCAGAATCCTTATTTTTAAAATTATTTAAAATAAATTTCAGTTTACCATCCAATCAATCTAAAGCATAAATTTATTTAGAATTTATAAAATATTTTAATTATTGTAAATATTGNATGTAATTGAGATTCAGACACTTTAGTTTTTATTTTTTTCCTTCTAAGCACAAAAAAAAATATTAAGTTATATTTAATCTTACTAAATATACTTATATTTCTAAGATAACAACTAGCATAAATGAAAATAAGACAATTAATAAAAAAAAATTAATATATTTAAAATATAAATGATTATAGTTGAATTCAGAGAAATAGATAGAATCCAATATATTTTCCTTTTTTTTTTAAAGAAGAATCCAATATATGATAACTATATCGACCGTAAAAACAATAAAACATACTAAATATAACATATCTAAAATTATATATAGAATTAAAGTAATATAATATTATAATATAAATAAGACATACAAACTATAAATTAATTTAAAAATTAAAGTAAATATCAATCAATTATTATTGTATATTTATTTTATAAATATACATCCCCGTGCATGAGCACGGGAAAATCACCTAGTAGTATATTAATTTAGGAAGTTTCTCAAAGCCATCCTCTTTTTTTCCAGATATGGAAATCTAATCGACTCAATATCACAAATTCTAGTATACTACTAAACCAAATAGACAAATAGTACAAATATTATTGGAAAACCTAGAAATTGGTGGGTTTAAAATATATATATGGGTCTAACTAAAAGGTTTATCTATGATACTAGCCTATTCTAAATACATATGCGTCTCTATTTACTAATGGCTTCATATATATATATGGGCCTAAATTTTTCTCACATGTTTAACTGACTTTACACTCAGCAGTGGTTGAGTAGATCAGAGTTTAGGTGACTCAAATGTTTTCAACTGAATGAATAACACACAATTTTGCTTAGTAACCGTTAAGTTGACAGATCTCACTGTACTGTCAAATCGCTGTAAATAGTGTTTATATATTTAGGTTATCAGCTCAGTCCACAAATCTTTAAATTAACTAACTGTAAAAGGAAAAAGAGCGTTACGGCTGGTTCACAATGAGAACCAAACGAGGCAGGGTCAAGAATTTAAAAATGGTTACAGTAATCAAAGCTCACACTTCGAATTTTATAACTTTGAACTGATGATGTTGGTCTAGTTGAATTTTATAACATCACGAATGATATATCGAACTAGTTGTGATTATAATCTAGCATTTTTTTTTTTTATCTTGGTGGTTTCTTAGTAGCTGTCATTCCAATAAACTATTTGATTGATTATTTAGTTAAAAGTAGAACTGAGTGTATTTTAGAGAGTGCTCAAAATTTATTGAGCTTATTATCTGAATTCATTAAAATTATTAAAAATATATATTTAGGTTGTCAAGAAAAAAAACGATAAGAGAAAAGTACTAAGGGAGAAAGAGTCGCCATTGATGGCTTTGGTGTCAAAATATGAAATAATAAGAAACAATATAGCATTCCTTTTTTTTTTTGACAACTCAATATAGCATTCCTATAAGATATGATCAACCGATCTTTATATACTTCGAGTTTCTGTTTACTTTATTAAATAATCAAAGTGTAGGTCATGAGAAAAAATGACTTGTTCCTACAACATGTATGTAATAATATGTTAGTTGTAAAGTAAAGTATTTAAAATAACTAAAAAACTATTTTTCTGTAGCTTTTTTTTTCTTACATCAAAAGTCTGTAGCTGTTATAAATATCAAAGGAATGTCAACCATAAAATGTATATTCATATACCATGATGAATTGTCAAAACTATAAGTCAACGGATAGTTCAGAACTTAGGAAGTGACCAAAAGCCAAAGTCAAATTGTTTTTTAATAGCCAGCATGTCAATTTTACAACCTTTTTCTGATAAAGACAATTTTACAACTTTACATAACGTTGACAAAAAAACATAACTTTGCTTGTTGAATGTAGTTCATAAACTGATTAGACTACCTATTATAATATAGTTGACCTCTATATAAAATATTTTTGTTTTGTTGTGTTTCTTAGAACCAGAAACTTTCGTGATGTTTTTTTTTGTTTTGTTTTGTATTTGTAACTTTGCTGTCCAACAAAAATAGTTTACCAGATATCAATATAATTTAAAAAAAAATTGTATTTCAGTAAAAGAGTTATAATTAAAAAACAATCTACATGCAAAAAATTGTATCTGCAGTTTCAAAAAGAAAAATGTTTCTAGATATGAAAATATCATAAACGAGACATTTATCAAATTTCAATGCCATAAAAGTTACATAATCACTTCTAAACCAATGGGACAAAGCTGTAGAATTATTGTTTTGAATAGACAAAAAACCGGAACCGAAATACTGAACCGGAATCGAACCGAAATACCCGAAATCGGAACCGGACCGAAACCCTCAAATACCCGAATGATTCCCATATTTCTATAACCAAAATAACCGAACCGAACCGGAATCGAACCGGAACCGAACCGAAAATCGAATGGATACCCAAACTATATATATACACAAGATTCATACATATATGATATATGTTAATAATAACTATATACCCATAGGCCATAAGTTTATAGGTATGTATCGATGACCCAATATTCAGTTTCCTTTATTCTTGAGAAACAAAAAGGTTTTGTCGATCTAATCCCTTAATTTTTTATTTTATTAGTCTTAATGTTTGATGATGTCTAAACAATTAAATTTATACTATGGTGTTTAAATTTTATTTCAGTTTGTTATCTTTCTTTGTTGTTTATTCTTAATATTACCCGAAAACTCTGTTCTTGATTATTTTCAAATATTTTGGATATTTATTATCCAAAATAACCGAACCTAGAACCGAAACCAAGTAAGAACCAAATTGTTTTGGATATTTTTGGTTTCTAATTTTACTATCCGAACCAAACCGAACTCAAAATTATCTGAACCGAACCAAAAATAGGTCAAGTAGTCAATGGATCCACTAACTCCCTATCCGAACTACCCGAAACCCAAAATACCCGAACCGATATCCAAAACGCCCAGGCCTATTTGATGTCAAAATTGTTGAATAAGAAACTGACTGAAGTTTTGATGCTATAAAGAATTCGTAATTACTTTTCAAAGTTGTTAAAATAGTTATAATTGTTGGTAAAAATATTATAGTTGTACTTTTCTAATTTATGAATAAACACTAATAAAAATATAATATCTGATATTGATTGCAATGAATAAGATTGATAGTTGATGTCAAAAAAAAGAAAATAATAAGATTGATAGTTGATAATATTTTAGGGTGGAAAAGGATATGCTAGCTAGTTGCTCTTAGATGTTTTGGGCTGTGAGATATAAATTCTGAAAAACTTATTTAATTATTTGATATCATATATTCAAACTCTTGCCAGGGAATAATTGTTATATATATACATATAAAATATGGTCTAAACACAGATATTGCATGTGAAAAATTATATTTAATAAAATCAGCTGTAGAAAATCAAATGCGCATGAGTCAGTACTAAAATATTCCATTACAAGATTAAATAAACTATAGACATGAACAATGAATTGGTGTTATTCAAGAATACGTGTGAGAATGAACATGTAACGGCCATAGTTCATATCATTCAGACAAACGTTGCGCAAGTTTAGTGTATGTAATAATGTAAACGATTTGGTTTGAACGACTAGAGTTTTCCGGTGTAAAATGTTTGTTTGGTACTAAAAGTTACTTGTAGAGGTGATACATCATACATGCTTTGCTTAATACCGTAAAAATGAAAACCAATACGAAAATTTAATCAGTGTTCCTATCAATCTCTGTAAACATATATGTCATGGTAGTCAACAGTAATTCTTTGAAACTGATTCTCCTGAAGTGAGGCAAGTTTGGAAGCCTTGGGGAGAAATTTCATTATGTTGATGGTAAATTCGAACA